AGCTCTAGTTCGGAGCTTTCAAACAAGATATTTCTCGTGATTATAGCATAAAATCACGTGAAATTAAATGATCGACAAAAATTTGTGTTACCTAGTTGCGTTTCTTTTGCTTGCCACTGTATGATGTAATATGTAATAGTCTGCAAATCATTTGTGAAATTATGCTTGTATAACAAAATAATTTCACACATAAGAAATCGATTTCCCAAAATATTTCGAATTTTTTTCTCGTAATGTTTAACCAAATAATTTTTAGCAGAATAGCATTTACTGAAATTTATATTTACTCTGAAGAGACAGGCTATTTTTATTATATGATAAGTAGAATATATTTATATAACGTTGCTAGGTTTTAATAATAAGCGATCAGGTTAAGGTTACTTGTCTAAATTCATTTTGGATTTGACTAAACGTCTAAACCTTTAATTTTGCTAAATTTTACTAAGTGTTTGATATAGTTTCACCATTTTTATAAGCTTTGATATAATTTTACCTTTTTCTAAATTTCACAGATTTTTTAATAAGATTTTAATATAATTTAATCAAGTTTTACTTTTACCATTTAGACATCTATCTAAACTCTGAATTTTGTCTAGCAAATTAGATCAGGTAAATGAATAAAAGTTTGTATATGCATTGTCCCTAATACCTTTGTAAATGTTGAGATCTTTAATGCACTTTCTGCATGTTTTTACTAATAAACATATAATTTTGATATAAAGTGCCTTGCATATTTTTCCACTTCAACTCCAACATGAATGCGAGTTAGAAAGAACATAAATGGGAATTGCAAGACATTTAAAAAGACAGTATAGTGAAAAGGTATTGAAAATTATTGTACTTTTTTCTTCTTCGTCTAGCAAGCTTTTCATTAACAAAAACTCTTATATCTTAAATTAGTAAATATGTCTAACTCATTAGCCAAAATCTTTGCTCTATTATATAACTTTTTAAAAATATCTTCCTTAGATAAGATAACTACTTCTAGTATAATTACTCAACAATAGAATTGTTTCAAAATCCAATTAAAAGATGAAGATTTCGATTGTCTTATAGAAATATTAAAGGATATTAAAAATAAAATTAATGATAATAGGCATAAATAGCATCTTAAATTGTTACAGATAAAGCTCTGAATAGGTCAAATCAAATTAGGTAACCTGTCAGGTTAACCTGAAATATTCAGGTTAGATTATCAAAATATTAACCTAATATCAGGTCAGATCAAACCTTTAACCTGATCTGATCGATCTATTGACCTGACTATAAAAAATAATAATTCAGATATTATAATAAACCCGTAACTATTGATACTAAATATCATAAAGAGATTATAGGCTTCATTTAAGTATTTTTTTTAATAGTAATAAGCTATTATTTAAGATAACTAATAGTTTATAAAACATTACAAAGTAGAAATTTTTCTCAATTACAACTTTAGTGGTATATAATAGTTAATATTCATATTTTATAAATTTTACAAAATTTCTAAATAATTATTTTAATAATAATTATTTATTTATTTTATTTAAATTTTATTATAAAATATTTTTTTAAATAATATACTATAGAAAACCTATTTTGTAAAACTTTTAGATTAAAATGTTCTAAAAGAACAGATCTTATTAAGATTATATATCTGCAATTTACTTTTATTACTTTTATTACAATACCTATTTTGCTTAAAACTAAATCCTTACCTTCAAAATTTCCAAAAACTACTATTATACAAAAAGCATATTTGCAATCATTTTTATCTTTATAGGGATCAGTTGCACCTTGTTAAATTGAATTTAATTCATTATTTTTATCTGCTATACTTAAATTTATAGTAAAACTTTTAAAAAATAATAAATTAGTTTTAATATCTAGTAATACTATATTAAAATCATTATATAATTCTGAAAAATTAATTCTAATTAAATTTTTAATTAAGAATTCTAATTTGACAATTAATGGAAATAGTATATCTTTTAAATAATGATAAAATTCAAAGGTATTTTTTGAATATAATACCTTATGAAAATGTTTTTGTTTAATATCAATCATCTTATTAAATTCCTTATTATTCTTAAAAAAATTATATAAATCTTTATTTTTTTCTTTTAATATTTTTAAAATCAAACAAATGATCTTCTATATAATTACATATAAAATTAGCTATATGACTAAAGATGGGAACTATAATTAATATGTTGCAACTTTTAATGTTGCAACTTACGTTGCAATTAGTTTTAACCTATATATGTTATAACTTATAATGTTGCAACATATGTTGCAACTAATTTTAGCTTATATTGCAACATTTGTAAATTTGAAATCAATTGCTGTACCATCTTTACTAGTGACACTAGTGACACTAATTAAGAAAACAATAAAGAAGCCTAATAATCTCAAGAAAGATAACAAACATGTCACTAGTTCTGTCACTAGTTAGTATTTGGAACTAGTGACACTAGTGACGCTCATAAAAATAGCATACTTATTGCCTCAACCTACTTTAGATCATGATCGGATCTCAGAAAAGCTTACAACATCCCACCAATATACTGACAACAAATAAGCAATAGTTGGGTTGCAAATGGTGCATTTTTGGCCCGCCCTAGTTTTTGAGATGTCTAGTTTTTTGGGACGGATCTTCTAGAATTTGTAACGGAATATTAGACTTTTGATTTCTATATAAAAAGAAGAAAATCTGTTTATTATTTGAAATTCAACTTACGTTTAGGCTAGCTATTATAACTATGCATATCCCTAAGCCAAAACATGCAAAATATCGGTGACACAGATAAGCAGAATTATATATAGGAAAGGAGAATAAATTTGGCGTATTTGGGCCACCAACTCGACACTTGACATCCCCCAGTAACTGGCTTAAGTGAGCCAGTGGTAGTACCCAAAAGTAATCGACACAATAATAACCTAAAGTAGAACTATACGGGAAAGAGTTCTAGGAAGGATCAGGTGAAAATAGAGCATAGAATTGGTAGGCCATTCAAGTAGAATTATATATAGGAAAGAAAAAAGAAATTATGCTTGAGTGGGTCACCAATAATAGGTAAAAAAGAAGTCAGGAAGGCAGAAAGTCTCAGGAGAATACACAAAAAAAGGGTATGAAATATCGATATAAGGTATGCTCAAAGAAATGACAATGCGAGAAAGAGTTCTAAGAAGGGAAGAACATAAAATAAAGTATAGATTTGGTAGTATCCCAAGTTAGAATAATATATAGGAAAGAAAATAAGAAATTATAACTTGGGATACTACCAATGATAGGCAGGAAAGAGGTCAGAAATAATTTATTATCCTTTGGTAACCGCATAGGCTGGCCCTGCATGCAACTATTTTTTTGCGCAAAAAACATATGATTACAGACCCGGACTTCCTGGCCTGAGCCTGAATAGAATGAAACATTAGAAGGACCGCTAGAGGGAATACAATACAGATAATAACTCGCATGCCCAAAAACTTTGGTACACATTAGATCGATCAAATTCGAATTCCTAATCAAGACTGGCACCCAAAATCAGCACCCAGATTATAACCCCAAGAAAATATAATAATACAATCTGATAATCCCTAAGAAATATAATCATATAATCTGATAACCTCAAGGAAATATAATCATATATTCTGATAACCTCAAGAAAGTATAAATCATATAGTCTAGGATAAGTCGAAGAAAATATTAAATCATATAATATGTACATATTATATGATTTAATATTTCTTCGACTAAACCTCTTATATTTCTTTATAATAAACTAGCTAATTAAATTCTTTAAAAATTCATTATAATTTTATAATAAAATTAAGATTCTAATTTTAGTATTTATTAAATCAAGAGTTAACTGTATTATAAAAGAAGCAATTATTATATTAAGAAAAATAAACAAATATAAATCTAAAATTAAAAATAATCACTTTATTTTTTAAAAATTCTTAAGTATTAAAATGGGTTTATCTTTTTATTGATAAAATATTTTAAGATTTAATAAAAGAGTTACGTTCTAAAATGATTTTTATAATATTATAAAAATAAATAAACCTAATTTATAAATTAATTAATTAGCTAACTAAATACTTATAATATCTTCTTTATTTTTTAATAAAATTATATATCTAGATAATAATAATACAGCTAATCTTATAGATTTTTCCAAATATAATTTGTTAATCAATTCTATTTCTTTTTTTTTTTCATTATTTATTTCTTTATTAAAATAAAAAAAATTATTTTTTAAAAAATATTTCAAAAAAAAATAAAAAAAAATTATATTAATATTAATTTAATTTATATAATTTTTAATTAAATTATTTAAGTTATATACAGGAGAAAAGAAATTAATTGGTATAAGAAATTATTTTACAAATCCTAATATTAAGATTGGTCTTCTAAAATCTTAACACTAAGGTATTTAGATCTTAATGAAATAACCATTTGATTTATAACTATCTCAAACTATATTACTTATATAAGGATTATTTCTAAAATAGATTCTATACACCCTTTTGAGTGAGCTTTTTGCATAGGTATTTCTAATAGTCTGAGTTTTGCTAAATTTAAATAGAAGAATTACTTTAGGTCATATAGAAATATCATTACTTATCAAACTAATATCATAAAGTTTATGGGATAATATCATAAGATTTGCTTAAATAGTGAACTAGCAAGATGATCATCATACCTATTTTATTAAATAACACTAAAGATGAGGAACGAAACTCAAAAAAGGCAATTAATAAACAGCTGAAACTATATTAAAACATAGTGAGGGGTACGACGAAACCCTGAAACTTGAAATTAACTAAAACTATATTAAAAACATAGTAAGGGATATGATGAAATTATTTTGAGAGAGTTTCAGCTGGCATCTTTAGCGAGTTCCCATAGAGAATTTGCCAAAATAATGATTTTCTCTTAGAGAATCGTCATATTTGGCGGGTTCGTATAGAGAGTTCGCCAAAATAACGAATTTTCTTAGAGAATCGTTATTTTGATGGGTTCCTATAGTGGATCTGCCAAAATAACAAATTCTCTTAGAGAATTGTTATTTTTAGCAGACTCCCATAGTTATTCTGCCAAAATAACGAATTCTCTTAGAGAATTGTTATTTTTTAATGGTTTCCCATAGTGGGCCCGCTAAAATAACAAATTCTTTTAGAGAATTATTATCTTTAGCAGTCTCCTATAATGGGTTCACCAAATAATGAATTCTCTTAGAGAATTGTTATTTTTTAACAGTTTTCTATAGTGGGCCTGCTAAAATAACGAATTCTCTTAGAGAATCATTATCTTTAGCGGTCTCCTATAGTGGATTCGCCAAAATAACAAATTCTCTTAGAGAATCATTATTTTTAGTGGGTTCCCATAGTGAGTCTGCCAAAATAATGAATTCTCTTAGAGAATCATTATTTTTGACGGGTTCTTGAAAATCGTTATTTTTTCATGGGTTTCCATAGAAAATTCTGAAGGTAAGTTGTCGTTGATGATAGGTAAGTGGATTTTTTCATTTCTTTATTTTTTAATATTTATTTTTTTTCTTTTTCTTTCTTGTAGTTATTCTTCGGTTTTCTTTTTTTCTCTGGATTCTAAGGTACTTTGATTTCGGTGGGAAAGAGCTTTTTAATTAATTTTTTTTTTTTTTTAGAATTAATCTTAATCTTGGATCATTTGAGTTTAGATTTTTATTATAAAATTTCTTTTTTATTTCTTTAGAATCGAACTTTCTCTTTAGATCCTAAGGTAATATTTGAGTTTATGTTTTAGAGAGTGGTTAGAATAATTTTTTTTAATTTTTTTAATTTTAAATTTTTTTTTTTATAGAATCGAACTTTCTCTTTAGTTCCTAAGATAATATTTGGATTTGAAAGAGGTTTTTTTAACTTTTTAATTTTAATTTATTTTTTTTAGGATCTAACTTTCTCTTTAGATTTTAAGGTAATATTTGGATTTGGTGTTTATTTTAGAGGGTATAGGATGATTTTTTTTTGATTTTTTAATTTCTTTTTGTAGTAATTTTTTAAAAGTTAAATTGTATAAATTTTTTTTTTTAGGAATAAAATAAGTTAATTTTATAAGAATTTCTTTAGAAATTATTTTTTTTTTTAGAATTGGATTTTAAGATAAATTGTGATTTCTTACA